GTCGCGTCTTATAGATGACATTCCACTTCCTCAAGTTTGGATATTCTCTCTCCAAACTAGACTTATAGAGCCGTGATGATGTCTGAGCTTTAGCTTGTTGTGACTTCAGTCGAAGGATTGCCACAGCTTAGTTGATAGAATTTTATTCACTATTCCTTTCATTTTGCATCTTACTCTTAAATGCAATGTAAGAGTTCTGCATTTACACTGCCACCGACTTGAGCGAGGTTCATGATTTTGATACTTTAGTAGAATTACTTCCACCTACAGAAGTTAAGAACTCCAGCGCTCTAGTGATTCGTTGACAAGATTAGAGCTATTTCGACTTGGCGCCTCCTTGCTCATGAACCGGCTGTTGCTTCTTCGTTAGGAGTGAAGATATGTTAGAGTTTTTGACTGTAAGCGCCAACTGTCGGTGTCGTTCTCATGAAGCCTTGTATGATGTGCTATAATGGCATCGTGCTGTCTGAATCTTCCGTTAAAAATGGAAAGCGGTTCCGTTGAAGATTGGTATCTCCATCGCTCGCCGTCTTGTCGCTCTTCGGCAGGTGTTGTCGTGCTGTTATGCCTGTTATGACTGTCAGAGTACGGGGAGTGTTGTTATTAATTTCTACTATAACGATATATTAATTGCTCAATTAATTGTTAGGGTACAGAGTTTGTTTCACCTAATGTCAAACACACTGTAAGTTGGTATTTTCTAATGAAAAATCATATTGCTGAATAAAAAATACAAATGTTTATTGTCTGAATAATTGGAAGTAATTTTAATATTGAAAATATTGCTCTAAATTATATCAACGCTATTTTTTATAATTAACGTAAATATTTACAGATAACCTTAACTGCTTGGTTCGTAGCGTTTTAAGGCAGGCCTTGTACTTTTGTATTCATTTTGATGGTATATGGTTGATTCTCATGTTACAGTGAAGCTTAAAATTTCGGGGTTTGCTTTATGTTGCCATGCGTTGCATCGGTTTTAAGTGATCATGTTATCTGAGTGTCCCTTAATACGTATCTGTAAATGCTTTGTCAGTTTAGCCATACGTTACATTTATTCTTTTCTTTAAAATATGGATTGACGAGGCTAATAAACTGCGTTAATCGCGCGTTTCCCGCTGAGGGCAAGACGCCATTTATCATTTTCAGGACCCTTGTTTAGGTGTTTCTACTCGCCGCAGAAAAACCGTCATACTCAATGGTAGCAGTGGCCGACGCTGGATCTCCACCTAGTCCAAAGCAAGGTATGTTTCATTAAAGCATTTCATTTACTTTGATATATTTGCAGTTATTAAAATGCCTCGTTTTCTTGTGGAATCAACCCTCATATATGCACCTTTTTTCTTTACTGCTTTTAAAGTCTCGAATTTATTTATAACTGTCTGAAAGCCGCTTTACACGATTTCAATTGATGTGCATGTATTTTATGCGTAGAGTTGTTAAATCATGCGTAGCTTCTAATGTAGTATGAGTAGAATAAGAAGCATTTTTATACAAAATGCGAAGTAGTAAAATGGATTTAAAAACTAACACTTTGCCTAGTAAATCGAGAACATCGGAGTGAATTTTAAGGTAAATATATTAAGTTGAAAGAGCTAATAGCTCGACACGCTTCTCACTTTCTTACCTTAAAGAACCTGAGAAGGTGGCAGATTAGTGGTGTGACCAAAATATTTCAGGACTCTTTATATTCTTAAGAAATTTCAGACTGCAGTTAATAGCAGTTTCGGAATTCATTGAAATCGATAGTGTGACTGTTGAAAATGTTAATGCCGTGGTGTTCCGTCCTAATCCTATATGAACTGCTATCAGTTCAAACTTCTAGAAACAGGCAGTTTGACAGATGTCCAGCGTTCAGTTGAATCCCACTCGAACTGATATTTAGATCCGACGTGTGTAC